GACTCGGAATATATATAAAGGTTGTTTATAGAAGAACTAAATTGGAAAATCTGGAAGCACATATTAATTCTAGAAGGGCATATCACAGCCTAGCATAGCTCAATGGATTCAAGATTGAGCTGGAAAACAGTCTTGTCTGAGCCCCTGAGCAGCCTCTGCCAGTCAGTATAGAGACCATTGAGCTGGATAGGTGGGATATAAAACAGATGCTGATAGGTTACCTGTACTTGAACCTCTTGTGTTTGGTAAATCTTATTCACAGTTCAGTGCATTTGATTGTACTCTCTAGAAGCACTGGATTGTAAAGACCTTTCAAGAAGGGTGGCCAAAACATACACCAGAAATTAAATATATACATTTTTCTTCTTATCCTTAGAAAATACATTGCTGAGAGCCTACTGCTTGAAGGAAAGTATCTCATTTCTAATCCCTGCATAAAGCTCCAGCCTTATGTTCATAATGGTTTAAACTGGTCTTTTCCAAGCATCCCCCGCACCGCCACCTCAATAGAAAAGGAGGTTCGTGGGCCTGCATCCAAACCCCTTTGAAGAAATAAATCAGGGCTAGGCTTAGATTCCAATTTCTTCCCATTTGATCGTTTATACCCTACCAGGGCATACATGATACTTCAGCTCAGGGAGCCATCTTGTGGCTGATTCACACAAAACAAGTCCATGTATACCCAGTAATAGCCTCCCCCACTTTCATCAGTGTAGAGTAGCTAGACGGTCTTGGGCAGCAGGGTGAGGGGGTGCATGATGCCATGATCATGGGAATTCCAGCTAGTGGAGGTGCTAAGTATTTAACAAAGGGCCATTAGTCCTTTACACTTTGTCACCTTGATGCATCTTCTCATTCTGAAAAATGTATGTATATACTATTAATAATTGAAAAACAATGTTAAATATAACATTATAAATAAGTATTGGAATAATCAAGAATGGGGATTGCAAGTAGAGTTTTTGAAAAGTCCCCTGATGCCATTGTCATTTCAAATCCTTTCACTCTCCTTATAGAGATATGAGACCTTTTTTTGGGTGCGGGGAATATCTTTGCCCATTGCCAGAGACAACTGTAGGAAGATTTGGAGGTTACAGGACTGTAGAATAGTGGCAGTTTTTTCATCAGTGTAGGTATCAAGCCCTCTTCTTTCTAACTTCTCCTTACAGCAGTTGTTATTCACATGCTCTAAGTAGCTTCCAGTCAGCACAAAGTGAACCATTCTAATTTGCGTTTGTGTGCAACTTTTTAGTGATGCTTTAAGAGGTTTTTTGGCAAGATGGCAAGTGGTTGCCATTGCCCCCTTCTTGGGATTAAGAGAGAGAGAGAGAATGACCCAAGGCCATCCATTTGGCTTTGTGTCTAAGCAGGGAGTAGAACTCAACACTTTCTGGATCGATGCCTTAATTCAGAAGCTGGCTCTTCTGAAATCTTACCAAAGAGATGGGTGGGACTTCCAGGGATTAGTCCAGACAGTCCCTAGGAATCAAGGCTAACTCAAAGGCACATCAATATTACATCCCAATTTAAATCCATCTAGCCACTGCATTGCATTTGATGAAATGACCTGTACTCACAAAAACATATGCCTTGTAATAAAATTTGTTATTTAGAAAAGATGCTACTAAACTCCTCACAATTTGCGGCTGGCATAGAGTAACATGGTTCTCCTCCTATAATGCTATAATGTTTGCCCTGCCATGAATTTTCTTTTATCCTTCCAAATTATGTTGCTGTTCCTCATCCCGCACTGGTATGAGCTTGGTGATATAACACATAATTAAGTTTACTTTATTGATTAACCCTTGGGCCATATCAAAGTGCAAAGTTCCAGAAATGGGACCCTGATGAGCCCTGACTATGAAATGGTGGCTGTCCTGTGACTCTCTGATGATCTCCTTTCAACCTCCCTTCTGCAAAGTCATCTATGGAGATTCTCAGTCATCCAGGTCGTGGTTGTCTTAAAGGTGCTTTTTTCAAGAGGCAATTGGACTTCCCAGTTTTTCTTTGAAAACGTTTCACTTCTCATCCAAGAGCTGAAGAAGCTTCTTGGATGAGAAATGAAATGTCTTCAAAGAAAGTCCAGTTGCCTCTTGAAAAAAGCACTATGGGGCTACAAAGTCCTTGTCATGGCAAGGTTCTCAGTTTCCTGGAGCTTGACTGAGGTTTACTGGGCTGTTACAGAAAAGTATACAAAGCTGCATTATTTCAAGTCCTGCTATTTGTCTATCTAGTTCAGCAACTACCTATACACTGACAGGCAGCAGATCTTCAGGAGCCCTTCTTAGCTCTACTTGGAGAAACATGGAACTTTTGCAGAAACTTTTGCACTAGACTGTGGTAGCTTTAATCTAGTGACTCTGTCCTGGTTGTATATGTAGCTGTACTCTTTAATAGTGCATACATTATTGACTGAATTTTTAAAACAGGATTTGGGAACTGTCTGCATTAGAAAAATACAGCTTCAGCATTTCAGATATTAGAAGGCTGCAGATTCCATCAACCTGTTAGCTAGAAATGTTAGACCATCAGACCATCTCAGGGCAATCCCTGGTGGTGAGATCCATTTCTTATTGCAATAATTCAGAACAACTATTACATTTAATTGCACAGCTCTATCTTTAAATAACTTTTTAAATGTGCTTCCCAAAAAGCAGGAACTATACTTGAGCAAAGGAGACATGGTAAATTACATGGAGATTTTGAATATATTTCATGATGTAACAGGGAGATTATGTTATGAAGGCAGATAAAGTTGCACCTTGAGGCATCTTCCAGAACCATGACGTGAAAGTGTTTAGCTGTTCCTCAAGGCTGCACCATAAATTATTTTTTCACTTACGTATAGCAGTAAGAAAAATTATACACCATCATATGATATCCAAAGTACTGTGCAAGTGTACATGTGATTTTTAAGTTATTTCAGAAACCATTTTCCTTGCAAGAACACCACGAAAAAATACTAGTAATTACATCTGCACAGCTTTTCCAACTAAAATGTAATCTGATCGTAGCTTATCCTAGTTGTTATAGAACTTTGAATGCTTGCTGCTAATGTAGACAGACAGGTGGTTGGCTGCTGAACTCAAAGAGGAGAAAGGAAGGAATAGTCTCCCTAAGTATCTTCTTTCTCTGAGTCCAGACACTCTTCACAGTGATGCATACGTTCTTGGTTTTTGGTTTAGTTTTCCAAGAGACTTGAAAAAGAATAATGGAACCTGGAAAAATGATTGAAATGCTAGATTGGTAGTTGTGAAGATCCAGGTGTAAGCCTATACTCAGCCATGGAATTCATGTCTTCGGACTAGTAACTTTGTTTTGGATAAAATTAGGAAAGACCTCCCTGTGGGACGCCTGAGACTCTCAGAGCAATTACAAAATATAAATGACGTTGTAGCTCTTTTATTCTGTATTATCAGTGCACTTGAACCTTTACAGCTTTAGGACAGCCTTTTAAGACAGAGAGTGGGCCCTATCACAGGAGTGAGAGGGTGGGAGGAAAGAATGGAGGCAAATGAAGGACTGTATGGTCTGTACTATTAGATACACACTTTGAGGGACTATGAGAATGGATTTGAGGAAGGTTTAAGACAATGCACTGCCAACTCACCATAGCCAACTTGCCACAGCCAAATCCCAGTGGGACAACTCACTACGGCCAACTTGCCATGGGACAATTCAAAGCTGTATTAATAATTTCATTTGGTTAATTTTATTATTGGTGACCACATTTTCATCAAAATTATTGTAAGTCTTGTATTTCTGAATTGACTTTATTTTTATTTTATTTTATTATTAGCTATGGTTCTGTTGAAATTAATTTAACTTTTGTATTTGTTGACTTGTCCTGTGACAAGTTATCCCACAGCAAGTTGGCTGTAGAGAGTTGACTGCAGCAAGTTGGCTATGGAGAGTTGGCCACGGTGAGTTGGCCATGGCAAGTTGTCCCATTCTGTTTGAGGAAAGGAAGAGAAAGAGCGTCCTACACATCCAGGAGGGGTGTTTTCTAGAACCAGGAAAAAAAATGAAAAGAGTGTTGAATTGAGCAGAGACTTTTGTTTTGTGGAAAGAAAGGAAGTCACAAAGAAAGAAATAATAAGCACAAACAAAAGCTAAAAGTTGGAAAACTGTGAATCACTTTGTAGAGAAGACAGAGCACCAGATGGAGACAGGAATGAGAAGCCAGGAAAAGGATCTGAAGCAAAGAAAGAAACTAAATGGTTTGGACAGTGGAATTTTGAATAGAAGTGCAGATGAATGCAGACTGAGCAAAGAAAGAATGCTCCCAAATTATTGCTTTAAGAGGAGTCTTCAGGCTGAAGCAAATAGCAGTTATGTAAACATGGTTTCATGGGATAATTCATATTTCTATGAATACTCTGCTCCAAGGTAGGCCATAAATGAAGACTTCGTTATGTAGATCCTATACCTTGGATCACTTTTGAATAGTTCCCATATGTTGGAAACCAAATTCAAATTCGAAAGCTTTAGTTAGTTCATATTGTTTTTATGCTATGTGAACAAATTTCTCCATTCTGAAAAGTACAATAAAGTTTGGAAAACTTTACTTATCACCTAGAAAATAACCAAAATAAAGATGAGGGAACACTTTACAAAATAGCTTTGATTCACAAACTTAAATCTGGCGTGCAAATGTCTCATAAATGAATTCCTCTAGGACAGGGTTGTCAAACTCACATCGTCACGGTGGCGTCACATGATGTATCGGGACTTTTTCACGATTCGCTAAACTGAGCATGGGCATGGCTAGCACATGACGCATCTGGCCCGTGGGCCAGGAGTTTGACAGCCTTGCTCTAGGAATATTCCTTGATGGGGAGAAATCCAATAATGGGTTGTTTTTTCTTTTTTAAAAAAATCACCATATATGTATATTCGGTTTGGATGCTTCATCTGGTTTTTTTCTGCAGAATTCTGAAATATTTCCTCTATTTATGACATGTACATATAATATATTTGCATATATACTTATTTTGCAGCATGCTGGAATACTCTTTGGACTTGCAGAATGTCAGTTTCTCAGCTGTTCGGACAGTCAGGGTACTCCGGCCTTTGAGAGCCATTAACAGAGTTCCTAGTAAGTTGAATTTCTTTTCTCCCTTCTCCCGCTCCCTTTGGTAATAGTTCATCGTTTCTGATAATGAGGAATCGAAAGAATAAATTGGAGATTACATATTTTCCAAAATTGCACTGAATATGCTCCCCTCTGTTCCTTCAGCACATCAATTATTGGGGTGTTTGCCAGACCATTATGAATAAATAATCCAGTTGGTTCCTTTTTGATGAATTGTTCTTCCATTTGAGCCATCCCCTCAGAAAATGAGGAAATTATTTATTTATCGGATTTATACACACCCATCTCACTACCAAAAGGACTCTGCGTGGTTCATGTTATTATGATCAAACCCAGGATGAACAGTTTGTATTTTGTTTCCAAAAGTGTTTGCCTTTTTTGTGTTTTGCTTTTCATTCTGAAGTGTTTCTTTTTGTTAATGTCTCACGTGAATTATTCAGCTTGTTTAATTTTTACCATTAATTCCCTTGATTTGGAGACATTAGTGGTTTGTGATGGAAAAGGATGGATGAGTTATTAGACACAATATCGGCATGAGGACATGTATGGATATACTGTAGTTATGGAAGGGTGCTTTCTTCCTCTAGCATTAAATAACTTGAAGGGTTTAAAAACAACAAATCCTCTTCATTAAGTTGCCAGATGCTCCTTGATTTAAGGCAATAAAGTCTTTCCAACAGGTGACACAACTGGTGAATCATATTTCCAGCTTGCAAAGTCCTGCTGCTGCTCCCTCAGCCCCTCCCTTGAGGAAAAGCCCGGTATCCATGCCGGAGAAATTTTCAGGGCAAACGGACATGTTCCCGGCATTTCTGGGGCAGTGCCAATTATTTATATCTTTGAGGCCTGAAGACTTCCCAAGCGACCGGGCTAAGGTAGGATTTATGATTAGCCTATTATCTGGGCAGGCTGCCAAATGGGCTACTCCCTTGTTAATTCAAGATAGCCCGTTGTTGGACAATTTTCAGGGTTTTCTACAACAAATGAGAGTTATGTTTGAAAATCCAATTAAAATACAAACTGTGGCTAGACAGTTACGGGACATTTATCAGGGGAAACGTCCCCTGCAGGAATACATTGCAGAAGTTCGTTTGCTGTGTATGGACTCTAACTGGAACGAACCGGCTCATATGGATGCGTTCCAGGAAGGCTTGTCTGATGCCATCAAGGATGAGTTAGTCCATGCAGAGCGGGCTTCAACTCTGGATGCATTGGTAATCCAGTGCTTACGTATTGAAGCCCGTTTACAACAGCGCGGAAGTAAACGGCCCGTTGTGGAACCGCCTTCTTTTTCTCGTGCACAAACCACGCCACCGAAAGTTTTTCAAACCACGGTTAAGACTGAGGAGCCGATGGAGTTAGGCGCACTCCGCCCTCGCTTAACGGCACGAGAACGTTCGAGAAGGTTCCAGGAAGGCTTGTGCCTTTATTGCGGGGGTCCGGGACATTTTGCTAATTCCTGCACTCGGAGAGGGAGTCGCAGACCCGTGCCCGAAACCACTCTTGGCCCGTCAGGAAACGGGGTAGGCCTGACCTCGGGGGAAACCCTAGGTCGGGCACGTTCTACACCCCCACCCCAAATTGCTGAAGTAAATCCTGGCCCTCCTCGGCATTTACTTTTGGACACTCGTATCTTTTTGCAGTCCCAGAAGGAGGGAATTCCCGCCGTTGCGCTGGTGGATTCAGGGGCTACAACCAGCTTTATGGACTGGGCTTTTGTCAAACATTTTGAAATTCCCTTGATTGCTGTGGATCCACCCATTAAGGTGGAAACCGTGGATGGGCGTGAGCTCAAGTCTGGGCCCATTCGTTTCACCATCCAGCCAGTGCGTATGCTTATTGGGGATCATGAAGAGGCGATAAGTTTTTATGTCACCTCGAACCTTCATCTCCCTTTGGTTCTCGGCGTGTCCTGGCTGCGTTTGCACAATCCGTTGGTGGCTTGGGCGCAGAACGCCATTTCTTTTCCAAGTCTCCAATGTGTGGACCACCTGAGACATATCTGCGCTGGCCAAGATATCGCCGCTCCTGCTGTCTCAATACCTTTGGAGCTATCGGACTTCTCCGATGTTTTCAGCGAACAGGAGGCAGATCAATTACCACCACATCGTGCTTATGATTGTCCCGTGGACCTGATACGGATGCTCCATTGCCAAAGGGGCGGTTATACTCCATGTCGGAGCCCAAGTTGGTTGCGCTCCGAGAGTTTTTAGATAAAAACTTAGCTCAGGGATTTATTCAACCCTCGTCGTCCCCTCTTTCGGCTCCCGTTCTTTTTGTTAAAAAGAAGTCAGGAGAGCTCCGTTTATGCTGTGACTACCGACAGTTGAACGCCATCACAGTGAGGAATAGCTATCCTTTGCCGCTCATTCCGGAATTGATGGAGCGGTTGCGGGAGGCTACTATCTTCACTAAACTCGATCTGCATGGGGCCTACAACCTGGTTCGGATGCGCAAGGGGGACGAGTGGAAGATGGCGTTTGGCACTCGTTATGGTCATTTCGAGTACACCGTCATGCCATTTGGTCTGACCAACGCTTCCGCGGTATTCCAGCATTTGATGAACGACATTTTCCAGGACATGCTGGATAGGTTTGTCGTGGTGTATCTGGACGACATTTTGATCTACTTTCGGTCCAGGGATCACCATCTTCAGCAGGTTCGTCAAGTGCTTCAGCATCTTCGGGAGCATAAACTCTACGCTATGGACCCTAAAAAGTCGAGGCCTTGTGTAGTTGGGAAGCCCCTCGTCGAGTCAAGGACATGCAACGTCTTCTGGGGTTCGCCAATTACTATAGGACCTTCATTCCGGACTTTGCTAAGTTAATGGATCCCATCACTCAGCTCCTCCGTAAGAAGGTCCCGTTTCTGTGGGGGCCCCCACAACAACAGGCTTTTGAAACTTTAAAGAAAGAGTTTGTGGCCGAGCCGATATTGAGGCATCCTGATCCGAATCATCCATTTGTGGTCGAGACAGATGCCTCTAATGTAGCTATCGGGGCGGTATTGTTGCAAGCTCCTTTTCCCCTGCGCATTCACCCTGTCTTCCATCGTTCCCTCTTGGTTCCTGACTCCCCGGAGTGTCCTCTGCGTGCTCCCGCTGGTACGACTTCCCCATCAACGCCCGTGAGGAGGCTGATGTTGATGACACGGTGGTCAGCGTTACTGATTCGCGTTGGCTAAAGGGTTGTTTCCAGTACTTAGTCGGGAGGAGAGCGGATGACTCGGAGGTTGTTTCATGGACAGATGCGTCCGCAGTTCATGCTCCAGACATTATTCGGGACTTTCATGAACGTTTCCCTTCGAAACCGCATCCGGATCGTCAGACCCGGGGGAAGGGCCCTGTGGTGAGGGATAGTGTTGTGGCTCCGGGTTTGGATTCTGCTCCTCTGGCAGATATGAGTTCAAGTGATGAGGACATGGCAGCAAAATATGAGCCGGCATTGCTTAGCGATTTGGATAGTAACCAGGATGAGGAGATGGATGTAACAAGGGAAGATAGACCTGAATTAATAGAGTTGTCAGGACCTTCGACCTCCTCTGGTTCTTTATCTGATCAGCAGCCGGGAATGGCTGACATGAAGGCATGAGAGAGTTTTCCAGCGGAGATGAAAATTTGGAGAACTTATGGCTAGACGTCAGAAACAGAAGGAGGCTGAGAAGACAAACTCACTTAGAAAGGAAGCATCGAGCTAGTCATTAATTAGGAAAATTAGCATGCTTCATAAGTGAATAAAAGGACACGGCTGGGCTGGTGGAATTCGCCAGAAGCAAAGTGACTAATTGGGAGTGAAGACATGCAGCAAACTCTCTGAGGCTTGTGATTTACTGCCACGCCAGAATTGCCGGACAGAGTGTGGATTTATTGCTGTGTATTGGAATTTACTCCAGCCGTTCTCTTGTGAGGGTTTGTTTTTGATTTGAATTAATTCTGAAACGGCTGCTTTTTGTTTTGCTCGCCTGCAATTAAAGGGGAGACATAATATATATATATATATATATATATATATATATATATATATATATATATCTATCTATCTTTGGTTATTCGGGTTTTCTCCCGCGTAAGATTGGAAGTATCTAGGCAACGTTTCGATGAAGTCTCATTCATCATCTTCAGGCTTCTGTCTTCAGCTCTGTGCTTCTCAGAGTGATGTGAGCTTGCAGCTGCTTCTTCCTTTTAACTGCTAGTGGGGCTGTGACTTGATTGGGTGGGGGCTTGGCTGTGTTCTGATTGGGTGGGGGTGTGTTCTCATTGGTTGGGGGTTTGGCTGTGTTCTGATTGGGTGGGGGGTTGGCCATGTTCTGATTGGCTGGAGGTGTGTTCTGTTCAGGTGGGGGCTTGGTTGTGCTCAGGTTGGTCTTAGTTACTGGGGGATTTGAGCTGGTGAGCTGTGATCTTGCTGTTTGGCTTCGAGTTCGTGGTCGTGCTGCATCTTCGTGGTGGGGGTCAGTTCGCTTCATGTATGGCTCAGAGGGGTTTGAAGTGGGTAGTGATGCAGCTGCAGTGCGGCTTCTGGTCTGTGGTCGTGTCTCATCTTCTGTGTGGGTGTGAGTCTGCTTTTTACGTGGAAGTGTGGTGGTGGCATCTTGTGTGGCCCTCGTGGGTGTGGGTCTGGTGTCATTCATCATGTTAGGTACTCGTCTGTTCATGAGGGCGGGTTTCCAAATGGCTGGTAAGCGGGAGGTGTCATCTCTTTTATTCATGCTGTGTGGGCGTTTTTCTATCTCTATGGCTTCTCTGATTATTCTGTTGTTGAAGTGTTCGGTTTTGGCGATAGTTCTGGTATTTTTAAAATCAATCTCATGTCCTGTGGCAAAATGCAGTCAAAAAGCTGGAACACACTTCCTCACTAGTCCAACACATGGAAGCCACAGGTCATAGCATCAACTTCAATGGCACCAAAACCCTAGCCACTATAGAAAACCCTAGCCACAGAATCATCAGAGAAGCCATAGAGATTGAAAAAAGACCAGAAAGCATGAATAGAAGAGATGATTCCACCAGGCTGTCAATCATTTGGAAGCCTGCACTCACAAACAAAAAAATCTCCACACCACAAGCCAGGCAAACACCTGGGCACAAACAGATCCCCCCTGATACCTCCAGCTCAAACACACCCCAACCAGGCACCCAGATGAAACCCAGCTTCCTAACTAATGATAGCCGTCCATTTACCTGAAGCCAAGCTGCACTAAAGGCCTCCAATAAAGTAACACAATGCTGCCAGCCAATCAAGATACAAAAAGAGCCAAAAAACAGACAGAAGATATTAGAGACACCAATCAAGCAGAACACAGCAAACTCCGAGACCAATAAACACAGACCAAGACTCCCAACCAATCAGGATGAAGAAAAAACCATTCTGGCACAGCAATAGGCTGCCCCAAATTTAAATCTGAAACCACTGTAAAAGTCTGACTCACAGACTAACACTATACAGAAGCCTGATGATGGCAGATGAGATTCTGCTGAAACGTTGCTACAACTTTAAAAGAACAACTACAATGACGTGGGAAAATACCCGAACAAAGCCGAACGCCATATATATATATATATATATATATATATATGTATGTATGTATATATATATATATATATATATGTATGTATGTATGTATGTATGTTATGTCTCCCCTTTAGCCTGATGATGGCAGATGAGATTCTGCCGAAACGTTGCTACAACTTTAAAAGCACAACTGCAATGACGTGGGAAAATACCCGAACAAAGCTGAATACCTACCACACACACACACACACACACACACACACATACACACACACACAATTTTAAATTAGGAAAAATAGTTTTTCAAGGTCAAATACCCAATGATAATAAATCATGACAGTAAAGCCAGAATTATGGGATGGTAGCAGTCATATTAGGACTGAAGAGTCACAAGTCAAAGAAGCTCACTGGATGATCATACGGATCATCACCGCAAACTATCTCACAAAGTTGCTATTGTGGGGAGAAATTGGAAGAGCAAGTGCTATGTAAGTCTACCTGAATTGCTGAAGAGAAGGTGAGATATCAATACAAACCACAAAGAAACCTGAATTTATTGTGTATCTATAATGCCTATGCCTATAAGGGAGCTTCAAAAGCTTTTGTTTTAATAGTTGAATTTTGACAGGTTGTATTTTGGACTCCTTTGTATCTCTGAAAGTCAAAAGTTGATTGCAGCACCTTCATTGCAAACTACTGGTCAGATGTTTTAGGAAATTAGTTTATTTTCTATGTCAGGGATTCTCCAATTGCAGGTTCTTAAACCACCACCACTAACCCTGTCCCCCAGTAGGATCTTGAGCAACTTGGGTCATAGATTTTTTTTAAACTGATCATAGTGGAAGCAGTGTCAGAACTTGGTCCTGCTTTGAATGGGAAAACTTGAAGTGAACTCACTTGCATAAAGCAGGGAGCCAAGCCTGGAGTGATCTTAAAGGATGCCTAACTTGTGGGTCTAGTTGTTTGTCAAAATCACTGCCAAGCACAACATAACAATGGGTGGCAAATGGTCTCTCACCAGCTGGTGAATACCAAGGGTACAGTACTTGCAACTGTACTTAGGTACATATGTAGCCCTTTGAGTCTCTGCAGAAGTCTATATATTAGTGATGTTCATTTATTATAAATCTCTAGAATTTCAAAATGGAAATGTTGGGATAAATGAGAAAGTTAAGCATGACCAATCTGATAGAAGTCATGTTAAGCCAAAAAAATATAATGGGTGTTTCGTAACTTGTGCTAAGCTGTGCATTTTTTCTTTCACAACCTTAAACCTAATGAAGTCATTACTTCTGAAGGGTTACAACAATTTATTTATTGTTGTAGTGGAGAACACCTGTTCTATTTCATATACCTTATGGTTTTCTTTTTCCTAAACAAAAGCAAGAGGTTGTTTGAATTATTATGTCAAGCCAAGTCATATTAGTTGAAAGTCCAAAGCATCTGAAATCTGATGCATCTAATTCAGTAGAGTGCCTAAATAAAAGTCAAAATTCCATCCTGCATTTAATAGCTTAAGTAGGTGCAAAGCTCTGTAGCATAGAAGAAGACCCATCTGGTTGCATTTGTCTGTTACCTTGACAGCACAAGAAATTCTGACCTGGATCCATCTGTCAGAACCTGGAAGTCCGTAGGCTATATTTGCTTTTCTAATCTTGTTAAATTAAACTTAATCTACCAGGATGTTCCCTGTTATTGTTGCTGCTGCTTTTATCGTTTTATGATACAAGCACCTCCATTGAAACATCTTCCCCCATCAAGCAGAATAGATATATGGCTGAATTTATCTGCCTCTATCTAACTGGAGATATAATTTGCTTCATACATTTGCAAATCCTGGGTAATTTATCTTTGATCCTACACAGCAGAGTGAGACTGCCCAGGAAGCAAAATGAGGAAAAGTCAGAATCACAAATAAATGTACAGACTTAAGGCAGGTCATCAAGTGATGTGCTTGAGAGGCTGTTTTGTTACCAAGAGGGGAAATAGAAAAAATAAATGCTCTTATAATTTTTTGAATATTTGCAATCGGAGTAGAGTCAGTGTGGTTTAGAAAATGTTAATGTATTGAGAAACAAAAGCATAAAGAGATTTTATGAATACACAGGTAGGGGAGTATGGAACTTTTAGGATAGCTTCTTTGCCAGGTGCCTATAATTCTTACTGGCTTATGAGAAGTAAGAACACAAAGATTGATAGGCAGTGAGATAGAATCTTTCTCCTGTAAAAGTTTTGCCTGTAAACTGAGCAAAATATTAACAAGAAGTCAAGCAAGTAATGGGGAATGTAGCTGAGTTAAAAGAATGGACAGAATGCAGAAGGAAAACCTAGAAAACCCTATTCACACATAACATGTTTATGTACACAGACAGACATAGTAGTTTCCTTACTGGATTAAAATATAATATTTGTTGTAATATTTGTGTGTTCACTCACACACAACATATACAACCATAAATAAAAATATATACACAAACACACATAACTGTGAAGAGTCCACCCTAATAGCACTGCATCTGTTTTTATATATTTGGTGCTGTCCTAAAGATGACTGAGGTAGAGTTCAATATTGAATGCTATTGTTATGTAGCTTGAAATTTGACTTTTAGTATGAACTCTATATTGGTTGTATAGCCTGCAAAGCCATGAATGAAGTCTGCTGGAGAGCAGGCTACAGAAGTATCTATGATAGGCTGAACACAAATATTAACTGATGCATGCTTTCCCTAGAAAAGGAATATCTGAAGAGTAATTTGGGGATGGAGGCACTTTTCTTAAACATATGAAGTGAGGAAGGGATCTTTTCCACTTGTGTTTCATCTACAGAAAGCCTTGGAAACTTAAGAGCAATGTCAATCCCTTTACAAACCACAAAGTGTTCCCTGAATAACTCTTATGATTAAACGACATTGCATGATTAAATGGCAATTCCACAAAGTGCTAATGAGGGGAAGAAGGGAATCTATTTTTTAAAGAAAGCTTAGAAGAAAATGCCAGATTAGAATGAAATAGATTTTTGAAAATCTATTTACAACTATAGTATAAAACTTCCAAATAATTAGAGCAAGGCATTTAGATGTAATCATGAGTACAACAACTTTTGTAGGTTACTGAATTCCCTTTAGAACTGAACAGCAAACTATAATCCAACGGGAGAGAGGACATAAAAGAAAATTGGGCTCCAATCTTTTAAGACCAGAGATAATTATGTCATCTGTTGAGTGTCCAGGATGATCAATGAAGTTTTGTTCACAGATGGGGCAGAATGCCATGAATTATTATTTTGATAGGAACTTGCCAAGTTTGTATCTCCTGAATGAAAATTTGGATCTGGATGCAGTTATCCTTTAATATCTACATTTCTCAGAGCTTTGCATTGATATGAAATGCATGTCTTAAATGTGCACAAAAATATGAGGAAAAGGGTTTTAAATTACATGAAAAAGCATTACATTTAGGAAACCTGCTTACTAAAAATGCAACATTAGACAACATTGCATACAAAATGTATATGTAACAGGCAAATCTTTAGAAAGCTGGATATAGAAGGAGAAGATAGAATTGATTTATAAGAGGAAAAATTAAAAACTGAAGGAAATTAAATTATCTACCCCTAAGTGAAAAATGAATGAGGATAACAAAATGTTTTTGATAAGCAAACAAAGCCAAAGAACAAATATTATAAAACAAAGTCAGGCATTTTACATTACAGCTAGTTAAAGATTTCTGTCAAAGCTCAGTATGTTTTAAAGTTAAATTCAATGGAGTTCTCTGCCAATAAATGTACACTATTGCAGTCATGCTCCATAAATTTAAGTATGACATTTTACTGGTGGCTTGTTTCTGATACCTTTGTTTTATACTGTAGCTATTAATCAAGTGTAAGAAAGTGGGGTTGTTGTTTTTTAAAGAAACAGCAATACAGCTTTTTTAACGTACAAAAAGGATACTTCTATCAAGATTCATCTATACTAAGATGTAACTCTGGATTTCCTTGGATCTGTGATGGTGAACTCATGGTGAACCCCTGTACTTCAGAATTGTCCATCATGCTGACTGTACATTTTCTTTTTCTAAAAAGTAAAGAACGTGGGTTACTTTCCTATATGTTGTAGGGTGGTATGTTTCCATATGTCTTCAGTGATTGATATGTGTTGCTGAGCCCACAGGATCATACCAACTGTGAACCTTTGACTCTTACCGCACCTGATTAGATTAGCATTGATTAATTAGAATATGATGTGGACTCATTAGGGAGAAATCCAGAGAGATCACATTGCAAAACAGCCTTTCCATGTTAACATCTTAAAATTATGTGACAACCCCCAGCCCAGAATTCCCAGCCTGTTCTGCAGAGTCCCGACACATTTAAATTGGAGAAAACTCCTGTATGGTTATTAGCTCTAATATCCTTCTTCTCTTACAATCAGGATGAGCTAACTCAGCAGAATTTCTCATCCTAAAACACGACTTTTATTTGCTTTCTTAGGTATGCGCATCCTGGTCACCCTGCTTTTGGACACACTTCCTATGTTGGGGAATGTCCTCCTTCTCTGTTTCTTTGTTTTCTTCATCTTTGGTATTGTTGGAGTCCAGCTTTGGGCAGGGCTGCTTAGGAATCGCTGCTTTCTACCTGAAAACTTCAGTCTGTAAGTATGAATGAGGTATGCTTGCACAGGTTCTTTGAATGTGCTGAGGGGTTTCAATAAATTAAAATAGTAGTTCCCCTATGCACTGCAGTATACGTACACAGGGTGTGAGTATCTCTGCCTGCTGATGCAACAGAAGTATAAATTCTCTAGCAAATACCTAAAATCCTCAGTAACGTAACACTTTTTTTTCAGAATGTGTCCCATTGCCATGACTGATAGTTTCCCAGCAGCGGTGATAGAAATGTCCTCTTTCGAATATGTCCATCAGCAGTCACAATACTCCAAGAAGGGAGAATCAGCTACTAAATTGCAACTCTCAGCAACCAAAGCTCTGACAGATATTACAAATTAAGGGGGAATTTCCAACCATCCCACTAAATGGAAGAGGGGGAGCTGGAGAACAGCAATTGGCTCAGGAAAGGGTTCAGGATTCAATTCAATCAGAGATAACAGGAATAGAGCAGGAAGAAGAATCCAGTCTTATCAAGATTCAGATCCTCATCTCTGCTAATGGAGTGAAAATAATCCCAGAGAAGTATGGAAGAAGTCATTATTAATAACGCTGGCATCATATAATGAAAATCAAGCTTTGAAGGAATACAGACCTCCCCCCTGATTTATGGTGGCATACATTATGTGATATCTTTTCCATATAGCTAAAACTGTGTATACACAACCAAATGTTTAATACACATATAGCCATGAATGCAAAAAAGTGTTTTTGAAGTGTCTTTCGAGGATTCTTCATTCTGATTCAGAAAGATGTGTTGTGTTGGATTCAATTAGTGTAACCACTAATTGTGCACTAGGGCTGTTGTTGTGCTTAAGTTTCTTAAGACTGAATGTGAAATACCTAACAGAGTATAGAATATCTTGTTACTATCTGAACAATCTAAGCAAGTTTCAGCATAGAAACATTAATTTGAAGCTTGTGAAAATTCTTCAAGTGCCCTCTAATTCTTGGGTTATCAACATAGCTCAAACCTATCAGAAACATCATAAAATAGAAAAGTTTTTAAGAGATTTTTCTTTGGAAGTTGGACATTTCCCCCTTTTGGGTTTGTTTGCTCTGAAGAGAGAATGGTTAAGTTTCAGTAACATAAAATCCCTCTAAATAAATTGGCAACAAACCAAAACCACGTTCTGATCAAGTCTACATACCCTTCCCCCAATACAGTTACTGCTCTGAGTGAAAGATAGGAGTCTGGCAGCACCTTCTCTGACTAATAAATGTTATCAAAAGACACAAACATTTGCGAGCTGCTGCTCAGATGCACAGAGTGGCTAAACAAATGTAAGATTTCAGTTGGGGATGAAACAAAGGGGAGGGGGGTTAAGAAAGTTGATTGTGCAATTATAGATGAGTCAGATTACAAATATCTAATCAATTAACCACTGTGAACCTAGTACAGTGATGGCTAACCTTTTTGGGTTCCTGTGCCAAAAACTGTGTGCGCACTTGCATGCTCACACTAGCTTGCCAGCAACCAGAAGGCAATGCGCGCTCCCCCCATTCCCCCTACACATGCACATGCAATCCCCCTCACCCCCACCACCCTTTTACCTGCATTGCGCCTCACAAGTGATTTTCGGCCGGTTTGAGGCCTTTTTTGGCCTCCCAAAGGCTTGAGGAAGTCTTCTGCAGGCTTTGCAGGCCAAAAACTAGCCCCGTTTCGTCACTTCCGGTATTTTCGGAAAAACAGGAAGTGATGAAACAGGGCTAGTTTTTGGCCTGCAAAGCCTACAGAAACCTTCCTCAAGTGATTGGGAGACCAAAAAAGGCCTCAAACCCACCAAAAATCAGCTGTGAGGCACACACATGCGCAGTGAGGTAAGTTTGCCTGCAGCTCGCGTGCCAGCACAAATGGCTCTGCGTACCACCTGTGGCATGCGTGCCATAGGTTCACCATCATGGACCTAGTACCTAATCAATTAACCATTGTGTTTGGTGCGACCTTTTAAGATTGTCTAAAACCTTTTCATATGTGTGAGTTCAGAAGTCTCTCAGTCATTCTGTTAAAGTCTTGATTTTCTAAAATGGACACTTTGAGATCTTCAGTAAAATGTCCCAATGGATATTATCTGATTGATGTTACTTTGTTCTTGTTTTAAGCCCTGACATTCATTAATGTTTTGGACAAATATCCTTTGGTTTTTCTTAATTATCTGTTTGGGGTCATAATAGAGTAACATGGTTCTCCTTGACTCAGAGGTCTTCACACTTGACAAGTTTAAGGATTGTGGACTTCAACTCCCAGAATTCCTCCTCCAGTCATGTTAGCTCAGGAATTCTGGGAGTTGAAGTCCCCAAACCTTAAAATTGCCAAGTTTGAAGACCCTTGCTGTATGTGGTCTGACTCAAGGGTGAAAGGCTGAATGGAGGGTGAGGGATGGCTAAGTTTCAAAAAGCATTCAAACCAACAATTCAGGAATGAACCTGGCTAAACCTCTCCTAAATTTTGCTTTGAAAGTTTTTCTATGACCTGAGTGTGTTAGGAAAGTGGAATGTGCTCCCCCGTCCCCAACAAAATATGTGTGAAAGTATCCTCAGGATGAATTAATTTATTATGGAATAAACTTTGGTGCATCATAGCTTGTTTTATATTGTCCATAGAGCCCATCAGTTTGTGTGATAAAGAAATCTGGAAGCTTAGGGAGCTGTAGAAATGGCCCCTGGGTTGCCAAGCAGTTTGGAATTGCAAGTTGTCCACCACTGACTTCAAGCCAGTTTATTTAGGGCTATGACTGTTTTCCACTTCCCCCACTTACTGACGTACTCTAGTAATTATGCAAATAGCATAACACCTTTGAAGTGTTTTATGTTTTTTATAACCCATAAAGAAATAACAGCAGATATATGGAACTGAAGTTGTGCATGTATCCTATCTAGTATCGCATCTTACCTCAGATAACAACCAGCACAAAATATTTGAGGGAAAGGGATAATGTGGAGAGATGTATTTATCTGACATCATTTTTTAGCTTCAAACCACCAGTAGTTTAGAGACATTTAAAAAAAGAAAGAATTGTCATTCCAGGCAATCAGTGTGCTCCCACCTACAATTAATTTCTCTGATTGCTTGCTCTGAACTCAATTATCCTACTGGCCCCTGTAACATCTCTGAGCCATTAGTTCCTCCTATTGCTCTGTTGACGGCATGAACACCATTTTTGCTCTTTTCCATTTTCATACTGTTGCTTTGTAAGAATAACAGTGTGATTTCTTTTTGCACTGTGAAAAGAACATTCCATCTTTACTTCATCCCCAGCTAGTGTGATTTTGGTTCTGCAACCAGCCCTGTGTCTCTTTCTTCCAGGCCTTACACATTGGAGATGGAATCCTACTATCAGACAGAGAATGAAGATGAAAGCCCTTTTATCTGCTCCCAGCCTCGAGAAAATGGGATGCGGGATTGCCGCAGTGTTCCCATACGGAGGGAGGAAGGCCTGGTGTGCACCTTGAACTATTATTCCTACAACGACACCAGCAACACTTCTTGTGTCAACTGGAACCAATATTACACAAACTGTTCTGCCGGGGAGCACAACCCTTTCAAAGGAGCTATCAATTTTGATAACATCGGATATGCATGGATTGCAATATTTCAGGTGAATCAAAAGGACTTAAACCGTGATCTCGTGCTGTTGCAACAACTGGGAAAATGAAGTTTGTGTTTATTTTTGTTCAGAAGTACATATATTTTTCAAATCTGAACCAAATAATTAAATAGTTGAGAATCTGCAAGTCCTGTTTTTCCGGTAATAACTATAGGTTCTGAGGGCACCAAATGTGCATGTGTTTTTTTATTATTATTCTCCATTGAATTATGTCGATTTACAGTATTGTGTGTGTGTGTGCGTTTTAATGCAAAGATTGAATACAGAGGTGGGCAATTGGGAGCCCTAGAATCAGTCAGTGCATTCTTTGGTCTTGTTTAAGGTGGTCCTTTGCAAGTTACCTGTTTAGACCCCTGGTAAGAATTTTCTGACCCTTCCCCATAACTGCAACTAAGTAAGAAAAAAATGTGAAAGAATATGAAAGAAAAGGATGATAGATATCCCATCCACCTTAAGCCCTGGTCCATCCTACTACTTGATTTAGCCTTGTCTACCAAGTAGCGTCAAACAGATTACTCTGACAGAATGTGACCTTCAATATGGACAAAGTACCTTGTGGGTGACTTAAAAGTTTCATAGGCATTTTCTTAGATGTCTACCATTCCTTGCCCTTCACAGCCCTACATCCATCATGATGAGCTAACCAATGCCTTCCTTTTCTTTTGCCTTATCACAGGTCATCACCCTGGAGGGCTGGGTAGATATCATGTACTTCGTTATGGATGCTCATTCCTTCTACAACTTCATCTATTTCATTCTCCTGATCATTGTGAGTTTCGTCTCCAGTTGTGTCAATCAGAAGCATTAAACCTAGATTTCCACTGAAGAAAAGCCATATTAGGGTGCATGAAAGGACTGATAAGATAGGATTTATTATTAAAGCCTCCCAAAACATGGTAGCCGGATAAAAAAGAAAACCAGATCCCATGTGCTTCTAGCATTTGCAAGGTGGTATTGAAGTCACTTAGATACTGGTTTCTTCACTATTTACTACTCATGCTGTCTGTTCTACATTTTTATTTTAATAAGCAAATGTTGAAAAAAGAGAACTAACGTTAATAGTTAGCATATAACTGGCATTAGATAAGGCTTGAATTTGATTTACGGTGACAAAGACAAATGCAAATAATTTGAACTTATATTGGCTTTTATGTGAAAGAAACCTGCTGACTATGATATTTTTGTTCTTGTTTTGGTAGCCTCAAATAACCTCTACACTATACATAACAGATTTAATAACAGCTGCTTAGATTTTGTCTCTTTCTGCCTTACCCCAATATTTGTCAAGATTATACAAAGCTTGTATGTCAGGGGGAAAATGGGGAACAAAGTTACGGAAAATAGTATTTAGACAGGTAAGATATAGGAGTGAGTTTTTAAAACAAAAACCTCAGATACATTCACATTAAACTACACAGGTAGTAATTATTTAGGATCTGTTTATAATTGCAGTTTTTTAATCCAACGATAATCAGTATCATTCTTACTCCAGATCATTGCAAATGCAGACAGGGTACATACACATTGTTAGATCATCTGTGATTCTAAGTAGACATGGATATAGACTAGAATCTACAGCTGAAGCTGTGGGGCCACAGGTAATTTCTTACAGCATTTGGAAATCACCAATAATTGTTACTGAGGGTAAAATTATTAAATGCATGATTGCATATAAATTGAATGAAATCACATTTAATCCTGCCCCACCAATTTAAAATAATACCTCAGCAAATATGCAAATATGTAAAAGATGGTGGGTAAAAATACGAACTGTAAATAAACAGAAAAAATAATAATTTCTAGAATGCTGGCTTGAGGACTTTGAGATAATTATTTACAGAGCATTAGAGAATATTGCAACAATTTGTACACTTTAATGAGGAAGAATAAATGTGAAACAGGTGTCAGGAATGTAGGCACTGTTTCAGGCCATTAAGGCCAACTTTTCAGAAAGCAGAGTTCAGATAAAATCCTCCTAGGGAGGGACTAGATATACAGGACTAGAGGTAATATTAAATTAAACTTGGGGACCACATGTTTAACTCTTTCATGGCTATGTTAAATTTAGAGTGAGTGTAATGAGCCACAAGAGTAAGGCAGAATCTGTAACATGTGGTATAAGCAAACCAAAATTTTAAACCCTAAAAAATCCTAAGCTTTTTCAGGGCCTGGATATTTATTTACTATTATTTATAAGAAGTATATTCTCCGGGAACCTTCAATCCTATTCTACAAATAAGACATGTAGATGTAAGCAAATAAAAATGGGAAGCAAGTAGGATTAAACCCATATTTCAGAAAGCTCAGAAAAATAAAGATTCTGGCCAGAGACCAAAAGACAGTAATGCTTTTGTATCAGGGGAAGCGTGATGTAGACTAGAATGTACCATAACTATAACTCTACCACTGAGACAAGTTTTTTTTGTGTGTGTGTGTATTGTTTTGTTTTGCTTTTGTGGCCATCTTCTGGTTCTCATCTGGCAAAGGCTCCATTGGAGGCCTTCAGCTGAAGCTCTTAGGGTATAAGCTGTTACATATGGAGATAAACGTTATTTCATGCTTCTAGGTCTTAAATCATGAATGCTATATGGCCAAAGGCGATACCTGGAATCTAAACATAGAAATGGACTGAAGGCTAGGACCAGTTGGTCTAAGATATCATCATGTCCTGATTGAGTTTAAAATGTAGAACTTAGATTCTGCATTAACTGCAGTTTCAATAGCCTTCAATATACTTCAAAGACATAGTGCGTTACAGTCATTTTACCTAGGGTTTACTAGAATAAAAGAAGCTGGTATTACATATGGTAAAGTACCCAACTTTGCAGCTGGCAGGCCTTTGATAGCGGATTGAATTAAAAGTGGGGGGGGGGTTTTCCAAACACAAATCTTTCAAAATTTTCTTTAACAAACTTGATTAAGATGAAAGCAAGAGTGTTCCAAAGGTTTCAGAAAAGTGACCTCCTGAATTTCAGAAAACTGACCTCCTGAATTAGGAACCAACGCTTAGTATCTATGTCTGCATGAAGGTGGAAATATTCTGAATCTTTTTCTCACAGCCTCATAATATACCGGAGAAGAGGTGAGCCCCTTCTCTGATAAAGGGGAGGCCTGCAGCTGTGAATGAGGTACGCTGAATGGTGACTTGAATCCTTTTCAGCCCCCAAACCCATTTTTTATACCAATATTGCCTGGCTATGCTAGTCCTAGGAGAAGCCGAGGCTCTTGTTCCTTTTTGCCACCAAAAAGATTTTGCTTGCCGGTGAGTTTCACATACCACACAATTATGTCCACGAGGGTCCTTGGTGCTCTCTGAGCTTGGTTGTTGTCTTGCAGATGTTGCATTACCCAAACTAGGTAACATCGTCAGTGCACTCATTTTAAACCTGAGCTACAAATGTTCTCCTTTATTAATTATGTCCATTTACATTGCCTCAGTTTGCAAATGTATGTACTCATGCTATAATCACATCAAGGGTATTATACTAATAGATTCCATCTGTAGTGGGAAATGTTTTTTTGGGACATGAGATTTTAACCCCACCCCCCCCCAAAAAAAAAAAATGCCTGGCAAAAAGAACAAGAGCTACAGCTTCCATGGATGGGGAACCTCCTAGTTAAGTAGACTGACCAGGACATCAATGCAGGGCCAAGAAAAAGCAAAATTAGCATTGTGATGTAAACTGTGTCCCTTTTTTTTATATGCCCATTGTGGCAATTATTATTTTTTCATTCTGACAAAACTGGTGGCCTGAGTGAATACTCTTGTAGAATTAAGTTAGCCAAGAGAAAAGAATCAGTTGTAGGGTGCTTTTTGAGATCTTCAGACTGAATAGCCACCATCAGGAGCTACATAAAATGCAGCCTAATGAAGAGCCTTTTTCGGAGTAAAATTCAGACTGTTCAACTGCAGGCAGCTGCTGCCTGTTGAGTGCCAGCTAACAAAGGAAAAGATTTCTTCTGAAAACAGCCAGAGACTCCAAAAGGAAAGTATTTGCCTTGAAAACACTTCAAGTGAATACATTTAGGGGATAGGGGGAAAACCTGCTTAATTGTGATAATTACAAATTGACTACCAAGAAATCTTTTAAAGTCAAAATAATCTTTATTGAGCTGCATTGTCATTGATGGAATGAGGAAGTCGGGGGGTGAGGTTGAGATGAGGAAGCATGAATATCTTGATATGAAAGGAAGGAAGAGAAGAAGGGCAGGGAATATCCTTGGGTGCCTCTCCCATAGAGAGGGATGGCTGCCATCTTGGAGTGAGTTTGCTGGTTTTTTTTTTAAAGCTGGTTAAAGTCGGTCAATTCTGTTTGGTGATTTTTAGGCTTAGATGTGCTTCCCAGATGTGACTCCTGAGCTTGAGATGTTCATGACAAACTCAGAATGTGTAACACTGAGAAGATTGAGGCATCATTACAGTAGTTATTAAAGTCCAGGGGGAAGATTGCTAATTACTGAGTCTCCTCCGCTTGCTGTGTCCCCTTCTTGTCACTGCCAGTTCATCTGTAAATTCCATGTGGGAGGTCATTAGGAAAGAAATTGAAAATGACATTAATCCCCGTATTGTTATTGCCCAGCCGCAGTTGGACTACTCTGCCTAGTTCTATATTCTTCTATTCCCTGTGTCTCAGAAAGAAGCAGGGAGAGCTAGAGGAGTTGCAGATAAGGGCAATCAAAATTATCAAGGGGTTGCAGCTAATTCTTTGATGTGAGAGGGTTACATCAAGTGGGGGACAGGATCGGCATAATTAGAAAGGCAAATAGATAGAGACACATATGAAATATGGAGAGTGTAAGATTAGCGGCCAGGTAAATTTTGTCGTGCCCTCAAAATGCAAGAACCGATGTTTGTTCAGTTAAATGGTAAAAGATTGAGGAGGGCATCATCATGGACCACATGGCTGTGGAACTTGCTCTCAGAGAAAGGAATGTGGTGGTATTGTGTCTCTCAATGCTAAGGTAAAGGTAAAGGTTCCCCTTGCACATATGTGCTAGTCGTTTCTGGCTCTAGGGGCTGGTGCTCATTTCCGTTACAAAGCCGAAGAACCAGCGCTGTCCGAAGACGTCTCTGTGGTCATGTGACCAGCATGACTAAATGCCAAAGGCACACGGAACGCTGTTACCTTCCCACTAAAGTGGTCCCTATTTTTCTACTTGCATTTTTACATGCTTTCAAACTGCTAGGTTGGCAGAAGCTGGGACAAGTAACGGGAGCTCACTCCATTATGTAGAGCTAGGGATTCGAACCGCCAGACTGCCGACCTTTCTAATCGACAAGCTCAGCGTCTTAGCCACTGAGCCACCACGTCCCCATCTCAATACAACTCATTAGAAATAGCCGAGAAAGTGCTGCATGCTCACATCCTTCAGGATATTTGGCTTTCAGCTCTCTTTACCAGGAGTGACAGTCTGTGGAAATGATAGCCTCAAACATCCGAAAATCACCAACTTGCCTACAAATGACATAGGCCAGTGGTTGTTCCCAAACTTTCTGACTTTGTGGACCAGTGGCAGCAGTGGCAGTGGAGTGGGGGTGGTTCTGTGAGTGTACCACCTTCATTTGTGCAAGCGGCTCGCATAAAGGGAGCTTCTCACACAAAAGCATGAGTGCCTGCCATTCGTATGCTTGTGCTTGTGCGTATGCTCACCTGCTGCTTGCGTGGCCTGGTTCCAAATGGGCCAAGGGTTGGGGACCCCTGAAATAGCCGAATCCAGCAGGTCCCTTACTACATTCTTGAAGTTTAGGAGAAAATCTATCTAGCTTGATGTGGTAAAATGAAGGAATTACACCCAGAGCCATAGAACTATATAGATATAAACCAGCTCAATTATTTTTCATCAAAGGCTTCTCTGCTGTCATAACAATAAAATGTCTGTAATATGATATGTATTTAAGGAGCAAAGTACCTTTGCCATATGCCTTTTACAGCTTCTTGTTTTCTAGCACATTGCCTAAGTATTTAAAATTCTATAAAAACCCAAGGAACTTTTTCATATCTCGCACATTTGTCCTTCTGCTATAACCATCTCTTCTTCATGCAATATATTATTCTTTTTACATCTCTTTAAATTGTAAGGAAATTTGTCATGTGGCTCAGAGGAACTGCTGCTTAAGAAATATGAGCCAAAACAACGCTTGCTTGAAGGCATGCAAAACTATTCGCTTCTTTGGTTTCCAGACAGTTTTTGAAAATATAACTTATAGGATGCGTTTAGGCTTCAAAATTGCCATTTGTTTTATATAGCTTGGGGGTTCTGGAAGCAGAATGTACATAATCTGTCTTTATCCTTGCTGCAGTCTATAAGAGCTTTTTTCAAGCCTAATTGTAGGATAAGGTTGGAGAGGGTGATTCGTAACCTCATAGATACTCCTTCAAGCACTACAAAGTGTTTCATTTTCTCTCTTCCAGTGTGTAAAGCTGTGTGAAAATGGACAGTATTGGTCAGGTATCTCCATGAACTTCCAAAAATTTTGCCAAGAAAACTGCAGGGACTGGTCCAGGAAGTTGCCACAGTTAAGGCTGACTTGAAGGCTCTCCCAGGTCCTTCAGAAGGACTTAATAGGTGGACAGAAATGCCAAATCCAGTCTTAACATCTGGCTGACAGGGCAACCACTCATAATAATATTAAAGCATGTATGGGTATAGGGATTTAGCATTGTGCATCATTAGAAAGAATGTGCAACACACACATACCCTGCTCCCAGATTTTCCTGGGGAAATGCAGCATCCATGATGGGAAAAAGTCTGCTATTCCTTTTTTAATTGATTTACTTATTTATTTCCATTCCATAAGGTAGATGCTGGTGAACTCAATGGGACCACCTGGTCATGATGCAAACCTGCATTCATTTTATTAGCCCTACTGAATTCAAGAGGATATTTCAAATAAATGGGTAGAATTGCACCATTAGTTGGAGTTTCTCCACATTTTTATCTCAAAAGAGTGACATCAGGAGATCTCCCATCCTAATCCTAACCAAACCCAGGACAGCTTAGTAGCTTCAGTGTTTGTTGCATGATAAACCTTCACACTTTTGCCCCTTGGATGAAATATTAAGGTGTTCGTGCAAGGTTCTTTCCCCTCCTTAAGTTTTAAAATAATATGATGTTGGTTTGGAGTCAACAGTTGTTTTGGAAAAAAACCCAATGTTTTTCTCCCATCTCTACATACTCTCTCAGTTGGGCTTCTCTACATAAATAGGGCTAATCACAAACCTACTTCCCTTTCAGGTGGGCTCTTTCTTCATGATAAATCTCTGCCTTGTGGTCATAGCAACCCAGTTCTCAGAGACCAAGCAGCGAGAGAGCCAGCTAATGAAGGAGCAGCGAATCCGCTACCTCTCCAACGCAAGCACGTTGGCTAGCTTTTCGGAGCCAGGAAGCTGTTATGATGAACTTCTCAAATACCTTGTCTATGTCCTTCGGAAGGCTGGCAAGCAAATGATGGAAACTTGCCAGACCACAGGGGTAAAGATGGGCTTCCTCTCCAGCCCAGGCAGTAAGACCAGCACAGAGAGACAACCGTGCAAACATCGTCCACGGAAAAGGTCATCAGTGCATCACCTCATTCACCATCACCATCACCATCACCACCACTATCACCTAGGCAATGGAAGCCTACGGGCCCCACGGGCCAGTCCAGAAATTAGTGATGTGGAAACCAGCTCCCTTCACAACGGTGCCAATCGGTTGATGCTTCCTTCAGTAGTCAATCCTGCTCACATGGCGCCTGGCAACACGGAATCTGTGCATAGTATCTACCATGCAGACTGTCATTTTGAGCCAATTCATTGCCAATCATCTCTCCCTCAGACTGGTCTCAGTTTGCCAGGACCCGAGGTGCTTCCCAGGACTGTTGTTGGCAGCAAGGTTTACCCAACAGTATACCCAAGTAGCTCCCATGAGCTCCACAAAGGTTTGGCAGAGCCTGCATTGAACCCCGGGGCTAGCACACTGATGAATCTTAACATCCCTCCAGGGCCTTATAGTCCGATGCAGAAGATATTGGAAACACAGAGCACTGGTAAGTATTAAGCTTGTATGTTGACCGTTCAGTCAAGCTTGAACGGAAGGCAGAGTAGTAATTTTTGTGTTCCCCTTTTCTCTGTCTTATCCTTAGCATTTCTACCAAGCTCAGGGACAATAGGTGTTGGTTTGCTTGTGGAGTCCCAGAAAAGGAATTTGCAAAACATCCTGCCTACAGTTTTGGAAAACTATTGCCAATTAGTGTTTACAGCATGGAATCTGATGGGCAGCATTTTGAAACAAGGGTCTAATCTAATGACTGAATTCACACTTCACATTACTGTACCCCACCCGGGGTGTTTTACTCAGGTTTATGGGAGCCACTGTGTCTGTAATATTTGAAACCAGTGAGAAATCAACACAAAAAGCATTAAAGATATATACTTCTGGCTTGCTTAAGCCACGAAGAACCATTCTTCTGAGAATTTAGGCTTTCTGAGAATTTGTCTAAAAGCTGAAAAGGTGTGTGAGAGAGAGAGAGGAAGGGAAGGAGAGACAGGATGTTGCATAATACAAATATATAAGATGTTATTGTTGGTTTGCAATACAACGTTTGCCCCCCTTTTTTTTCCTACTTGCATTCATATCCTTTCAAAGCAATTGAAAAGCGTGCCAGTGATTGACCTTTTTGGAGGCTGTGGGCTTCTTTCTGTGCAGGGTTGACTTGGGGGGGGGGGGTCACACTGATCCAGTCCTGTGGAATATCAGGCACAAGTCCAGCCTTCATCTTCTGTCATTTGTAAGAGGCTCCCGTCTGGAAATGTGGAGTTTCAGTCATCATCCAAACTCCTGCAAATATTTATTCAGAAGCATGAATGTTCCTCTGTAGCAACACCGTTAATGTAATGTAAGGATGGCCTCTGGAGACTCCACAGTTTACTTTCCAAGATTTCTCTGTGTGTTTGCAGTGCTGTTGTTTTTTTTAATCTCTCTAAGCATCAGAGACTTTCTGGGAATGAGGCAGGGCCAGCTCGCCAAAATCTTACGATTTGTCTCCAAGAGAAGGTCAGGTTAGGTGATCCAAGGTTCCCTGCTGACTTTAAAATGAGATAGGAGTTAAAGCTGGATTCAGAATGAGCTCTGAGGACAAAGTCCTCACCTCACTGTAGCCTACTTCACAAGGGACTCTTCTTCTTGCATTGGAAAGCCCACCTGTCAGCTGGGATTGGTTATTGCAAGAAATCATTTCAGAAGGGTGAGTTGGAAGAAAAATTGAAGTATCAGCAAGCAGCTGTGTGGTATCTACTCAGCTCCTAACACAGATAGTCCTCGACTTACGAACCTCAATTGAGCCCAACATTAAGCAAGGCATTTGTTAAGTGAGCCTTGCCCCATTTTATGATCTTTCTTGTCAGAGTTGTTAAGTGAATCACCACAGTTGTTAAATTAGTAACGATGTGAAGTGAATCTGACTTCCCCATTGAATTTGCTTGTCAGAAGGTCACAAAAGGCGATCACATGACTATGGGATATCGCAACCGTCATAAATATGAACCAGTTGCCAAGTATCTGAATTTTCATCGCATGACCATGGGGATGTTGCAACTGTTATTAAGTCTGAGAAGCAGTTGTAACTCTCTTTTTCAGTGCTGTTCTAACTTTGAACTGTCATTAAATGTCAATTCAGTATATGCCATAAGTCAAGGGCTACCTGTATTACATGTGCCATAGACTTGATTGCCTTCTGTTTCACCTTAATGGCCAAATGGGTAATGAAGCAGCTGCAAATGCTTGCCTGTGGACAGCATTCACTGGTGAGTTCTAAGGGGTGTAGGTTGGGTGTGTACATGTGCATGTGTGCGTGCGTGCATGTGTATGCTTGGCTCAGCCTTGGATTTGTAAATCTGAATAGATTTCTACAATTCAAGGTAGGGAACTTAGCAACCATCAAGTACTTTCCTCCCTGAAAAAAAAAGTTGCTGCTGATATTAAACAAAGAAAAAGAAAATCTGACAATATTTGAGGAAACCTCCAGAAGAATTGTTCTTTTCTTTAGCCTGGAATTGAAGAGATGGAGTTAAATAGTTATTGATGGTCATTTCCCTGAATAAATATTTTGGGTGTGCCCCCCTCCAATGCCCTAATTTGTTACGGCAAAGGTAACCTTTAATTGGTAGAGCACAAAACATAACACTGTGTTGTTTTGAACGTCTTTTCTATTTTCTAACCAGGGATGTTAATGTTGATCTTGCTCAATGGAAAACTCTTTTGCGTAGTTATATACCACTGACGCTTCTGCTTGAATGAAAAGTGGTGTAAATTAAGCCGTGTATTCTTTTAGGCTTTAATATTTTGCGGAAATATTGCAGCTTACATGCCAGTTCTCTAACAGATGCAAATGTTTCCCAAGAAATGGTTTGAATGAGGTAACTGAAAACCCATGTTTTGTAATATTCACAGTCACTTAGAAATGTACAGTTTGAATGTGGATGATTCACAGTTTACACTGTTTTGGCAGATTTTCCGATAGTTTTCTAGGGGTGTTCTTGAACGTTTCCTCTTATTCCTCTGTAACTTGGCAGTTTTCCAGGTAGAATCCAGGGGTATCTGCAGAGTATGGCCCAAAAGTGGTGCAATCAAAGCACTGCCTATTTTTTATTGACTCATGTTATTGGGGCTACCATCTTGACTTTTTTAAAAAATTACACACTCTGAGGTTACTCCTAGCATAATAGATAAGAAAAAGAGAAAGGTTATGCCTTTGCCAAGACAAGAATCTCCTTGACCCACATTACTTAGAGAGAAAGCAGAGAAAGATCCCATTCAGACATCTGCTTAACAACAAATCGATCGGCCAGATCAGTTTGATAAATTTGAGTAACCTTAATTGGTTAACTTTTTACTTAGTAAAATCAGAGATCTCAAATTTCAAAATAATATCTCGTTTTCTGAAGAACTTGTAGCCTTCAATATTCCTTTCATTAAATTGGGCAGCTCTTTCTGGGAACAGTGCTGCAGAACAAAAAGTATGTTAATGTTTTAAAACAGTCAGCTTTTATAAATGTAATCAAGACTCTAGATCTCTTTTGCCTAGCCTTCAGAAATGTTTTGAGTCAGGTTCAGCAGATATTTCTTCCTTTATTATTCAAAGATTACCGATACATTTATGGACTCCAAAACAGCCTCTGTCCTTCATTTTCAGTATAGACCTTATAAGCATAAAATATCAGCACTCTTATTTATTGATCAAAAAAATTTTGATCGTGCATTTTCACAGCTAAAATTGTTCCAAAGTGTGAAATACATTTAGAATAACATTAAAAACCTTACAAATGTAAAAGTAGCTAAAGAATAAAAACAAGGTAAAACCTACAGTGGTGGAAAGCTCCAAAAGGCAAGATCACTGCTTTCAAAAAATGAAGGATTTGAAAATCAGGGAGCGTAAAATCGCCTTTACCTTTCTAGAGCAGGTTCTAGAAAGAATACGGTAGAGATAGCTGATGCTTTCTGGAATTCCAGAATTCAGATTATGAGCCTGCAAAATGGTTACAGCCACTGTTGTGCTTGATAACATCATCACTCCCACCACTACCGTCACCTCCATCACACCCTCATCTTCATTGCCGCTAGCAATGTGCTGTTGCTGTTTCTGCAACAAAAAAGGGCTCTGGGTTACAAGCTAAAGGCCACCCATCCCACCACTCTATGCAACCAGGACCCTAGGTTTCAAATGTAGTTTTTGTCAAAATAAAGTATCCTCGTACAAAGTGTGAATGAATAAATCTATCTGATTTGATCTCAGTTGGTGTCTCATGTTGAAACCCTTTCATTCATTTTCTCCTGTTTATTCTTTGACTTCAAAAAATACCCAGGAACGTTCATGTTTTCAAGTATATTTCTACTACATGGTTTTGTTTTGTACTGATGTAATTTAACGTTAATAGTTAGATTGATATCCAGGCTTTTCTCTCAAGTTATCCTACATAGCATTGCCCCCACTTTGTTTTCCCCAGAATAGGGTTAGGGTTAGGGTCAAAAGGTCACAAAAGGTGATCACGTGACCTCGGGAGACTTCAATCGTCATAAATATGAGCCAGTTGCCAAGCGCCTGAATTTTGATCACATGATCATGGAGATGCTACAAAAGTTGTAAGTGTGAAAAATGGTCATACGTTACTTTTTTTTCCAATGTAACTTTGAATGGTCACTAAGCAAACTGTTGTAAGTTGAGGACTGCCTGCACTGGTTGAAGTCACTGGTTGATGGCCTAAAATTCTTAGGATTTTCTCCAAAAAAAGCAAAAAAAAAAATCCTAAAAGGCCACATCTGTCAATATCACATTTTTCTTCTGCTCCAAAATGGGACCTCTTAAGAAGCCTGATAAACAATGGTTTATTTTTTATGTATGTGTGTGTGTTTGTTTGTTTGTTTGTTTGTTTGTTTATTTCTCATTTTAGGCCCCTGCCAAAGTTCCTGCAAGATTTCCAGCAAAGGGGGCAAACCTGATAATACTTGCAGCCCAGAAAGTTGTCCCTATTGCACAAAAACCTTGGCGAACAACCCAGAGCAGAAGGATCACGAGGCAGGAGACTCCGATAGCGATGCAGTATACGAATTCACCCAGGATGCTCACTACAGTGACCAGCGAGACCCTCAGCGCCAGAAAGCTCAGGGAAGAAACACACGGAAATTTCTAGCCTTCTGGAAGGTGGTTTGTGAGACATTTCGGAAGATTGTGGACAGCAAATACTTTGGCCGTGGCATCATGATCGCTATCTTGATCAATACCCTCAGCATGGGCATTGAATATCATGAGCAGGTAAGCAGGACTTTATCTCTATTTTAGTCCTTTCGAATCAATTCTCCCTACAGCCACAGAGGCCGAGAGTCGGACTTGTTAGCTCCATCTTGCTTCTGCTCTTAGCCCCTGGAGTGAAAATTCATGCCTTTCAGCATCGATTAATGTTGACCCTTTGCTTGGTGCTTTTGCACTGTATGGCTAGGTTAATCCTGCTTGTTATTAGATGAAACTGCAACATATTTTAAGTGCAGCAACAGTGGCAGTTCCTCAGTAAACACTTCTTAGTGTGTTTTGACGGATTGGGAGAGCTGCATCTGAGCAGGGAACTTATTAGTTGGTTTGAAAATGAGTAAAGTACAGAGGCTTGAAAACTTTATAGTTAACAAGGAAGGTTAGTTTGAATGTTGGTAGGTTGGCTGGAGTTTGGAGGTTGGCTGGCTCTATTGTTGGTCAGATTGTGGCAAGTCTTGGATAGCAAAACTGGGGAGGCGGCGGACAGTGGAACAGGGAACTACACAGCCAACCTAAGTTAGCCTGTTGCTCTCAGCTGCAGTAGGTGTCTTCTCCCACTGCCAAATGTTGTCAGGGTGGCTTAAGGGGGTGGGAGGCAATCTTAGTCCGCCCCAGGCAGCAAAAAGGGATCACTTTAATGGCTAATAGCTGAAAATAACACAATTGGTGGTTGAAGGCATCAGCCTTTGAGATGAGAATTGTAATTGCTACACCTTTCTGTACTTCGCAGTAGCGGTGAGAGTTCCATGAACTGATCAGTGCTGCAAAAATTAGGTGAAATAATATGTTTGTTTCTGATAGCTACTTTATAACTAATTATTTATGTTAAATAATATGGTATTTCTTAATTCCATTATAAATGGAATAAGATGAACTTAGTACACTGCAGGCAAACTGTACAATGAAATAAGTACTGTACATGCATGCTTTTTGCCAAAGCTAATATCATCCTTTTCTTGCAATTGGGATGTTGTTGTCACCTTTTACATAGACATGCTGGTTGCTCAGATCATCCCTATTAAGAATGTAGGATCTGTACTTGGATTAAAAGAACATCACAGCAGGTCCCAGTGTTTAGCTGACCTTGGCAGAATACTTAGATCTGACTAGGACTTGGATGGGAGAACACCAGAAAATCCCAGGACTGTAATATGGATTGAAAATTGTAGGGGCAGATATCCTGGAAGAAGGTTCTGGTCAGTTAATTCTTGATATGGCATGATAAAACAACTTGGCGTAATGTAATGACCCTGCATCATTTCAGGTCTTGATGATGAGTCAGTTAAATCAAGTCTGCCCTCCCCTGTCCTCCTCTTCTTCTTCAAATGTCAACTTTATTGATTGTTCAGAACCTGATGATAATTATATTATATTTTGAAAGGTTAATGCAAAAGAGTATGTTTCTATTGGCCCCTGTATAGAAAATAAAGAGAGGTCAATAAGATGACTAGAGGTATCACCAAAATGGTAGCCTCTTCCTAAGAAACTCCTGTGAGTATGTATCCCATCTGCTCAAGCAAGTCAGAAACCAATTAGAAATAGGTTTTAACCGTAGAACTGGTTAAGGAACAACATGTTAATCAGAATGGCCATCTGGCCTCATACCACAATATGTGCTGGTGTCCTCGCTTGACATGCTCTGCAGATCTGGGGCTGCCAACTATTGTACCCTGTTCACTGTTCACGGGAACAACTTGACAAGGCCCCAGATTCCCATGATTTTGTGAGGGAAGAACCTAAAGCATTTCAGTTTCAGTGAACAGTAAGCAAGCAGCATTATACTTAACACTGAGGTTCGGACAATTCCGACTTGTAAAGGAATAAGACTGATTGGGTTAGATATTGGTTGCAAAGATGGGCATTTACCTTCAGAAAGTATGGTGTACATTTAAACTAAACCTAACCTAAGCAAGCAAGAGTGTCAATTTGGTGTAGAGTTTAAGACATCAGGCTAGAAATTGGGAGACTGTGAATTCTAATCCTGCCTTAGGCAAAATCCAGCTGGGTGACTTTGAGCCAGTTATTCTCTCTCAGCCATAGGAAGAAACAGGCAATGGCAAATCACTTCTGAAATCTTGCAGAGAAAACTGTAGGGACTTATCTAGACAGTCATGGCTAGTCCACACCATCCTTAAAGCTCCCTCCACCAGAGCAAACAAAAATGTATGTAGATATATTTTGAAGGTATCTGATTGGAAGGTTGATGTGGAAGTGGGTCTAACTCTTTTGGGGTTAATCTCCCCCCCCCCTCAAAATCTCTATCTGTCTTTCTTCTGTGGGGAATTGAAGATCAGTTTGAGGAAGGAGAGATTAAATAAGAAAAAGGCTGGTAATGAAAAGGTTATGTATTTTGCCACGTGCTCTTCACAGCCAGTCTTCCACCCAAATTCACATTTTGTTGGTATTGTATTGTCTCCATTAAAATACGACTACGGCAGCTTCTGCTTTTTAAATCACTCCCTGCTGTATAATTTCTGGATAATTTTCCAGCTGTAAATCTCTGAGCACCTCACTGGGAACAAGAAACACTGAGAATGTCTAGACTAATTCGCATTGAACATAAAGTATATATCTCGCTGTCCTCTCCAACCTGGTGCCCATCAGATATATTGGATGAGATCACCCAGCACAAAGTGGAGCAGTTTAGCAAAGGCTGATGTATGGGACCAAACTAGTTTGAAAGAACCACTGTTGCTGCTTTTCTACCTTGTCTTTCTTTCTTTTTTTGCTGTTGAACACAAATCCTTTTCTTTTTTATTCAGCCCTTGGCAGCAGAACAGCAGCTGCCTAAATTCAATTCTACAGCTGTTAATGCAGGTGACAATGTCATCCCAGTGTATTAATATAACAGTGGCTATACATTATGGGATCAAGGCCATTTGTATGCTTGATGTGTCGCTTCAAGCCGATGCGCTTTTGGAATCTGTAAACTCAAGACTGACCAGTTTTTGTTGTTTGTTATGACCTTAAATAGAATGATTCTATTCAACTCATCCCAGTAGGACCTATGGCATGTTGTTTGACCTCCATTATGTTGCTCTTACTCAAAATATATTTCCAGAAGAATGAACTGGGTGCTTTTGAAATTCAGTACAATTCTAAGAAAAACACTAAGCAAATCTTTTTTTTTTTTTTTTTTGAGAAACCAGGGTGAAATGAGGATACTTGAATTAAAGTTCACTTTTGGCACCTTTGACCATTTGAGGTGGCAATGTCATTTCTGCATATAGTATGGTAAATTTGAGACTTGCAGTTCCTTTGACTGCCCTTCCAATTATCCATCCTTCCTTGTTAAAAAGTCTTAATAGAAAAAGACATAACAAGAATATAGCCATCAATCTCCTTTTCTTAGACTGATCAGAAAATGTATATCCATATCCAGAGGCTAATCAATATACTTGGTTTCCTTGGATCAAGACTAGTAGTGGGCTGGTCACTATGAATAATACTTGTAACCCCCTTTTCCTCTCTGGTTTGTTTCTTCATGGATTCATGAAGTTTTGATGTTGAATTAATATTTTAAGTATGCTTAATTCATGGGAAGAGTTTTTGTTTTAGAAGATATTTCATTTACAAAGGAATATTTCCATTGCTCATCAACATTTCCATTGCACATCTCAAGTATATTGCTCATACAACATACTTCAGATGTGTTTTAAAATATATATTAAGATGAAAATAGCACCAAAATATTGAGGAGCTTTTAAAAGATGTTAGATAATTCAATTTGGATGTGCCAGGTAACCAGATCAGCACTAGATAAAGAATTCAGATTGTAGCCTTCTCATTTCTCAAACCAGTTTTCGTTTTATCAACCAGTCACCATAGATGAAGCTAATTATTTTAAAATGTGAGATTATTACTTGTGAGTCCTGGGATTCTATTAGGAAACAGGCAGGGATGCGTAAAACCTCTAAAACTATTCACAGTCATAGTGAATAATATATGAATGGCAATGCAAGGTGAGTGAGGTAGTCCAGGAGATGTTTTGGAAATATCCCAAGTCAAGGGAAGTCTAGTGATTTTTGTACCTCAGACTGAATGTAATTGTGACAATAAAAATAGAACAATAAATTGAATAATAGACAGTTTCCTAGCATTTTACAGTACCCCAAAATCATACTGAGATATCTCTATCAATCTATCTAATGGCTGGCCCAGTCCTGATATTAATCTATGTACCCTAAACATCTTGATAGCCGGACTAATCTCTTTTCCAACTTTCCTTCCTGAGAACAAAAAGGAGAATGTTGTACATTTTTAAGAGACTCATTATATCCTCATGACAACCATCCATTAAATACTTTGGGAAATTTTGCCCATTATTTCTGAATATGTGTCACTAATGAGTCATTCTCGTGAACATCATTGTTATAAAAAAAATAAAATGAGACAATCTCAGCACATTCGCTTTTTAGGAAGATCAGCTATTTCTTCAAAAAAAAAAAAAGAAGCTGTCATAATTATTTAAGGCATCATATGAGCCCCTTAGCTTCCTTTCCATAATAATGAGCAATTGGATTTTTTGTTATTAATAGAACTCAGTGGACTATTCACCCTATTAATTCAAGTGTGATGCCTTTTGTAAAAAAAAAATGGTGAGTTAACTTGCTGAGAAATTTCAAGAAACCTGTTAGCAGAAGAGAGATAAATGCTAAAAACCAAGTATATTGAACCATCATGGCCAGGTCTTCTCTGTGAAGAGTAATGCTGTTCTCCCTCTCAGGCATCATCTCGTAAAGAAAATCAGCCTCAATGCTATCCCAATGCTATCACTTTAGCCTGAAAAATGTTAAACTGTCCTGCTTCCCTCCGAGACAAAGGATCGTGGCTCCCCCAATTATTTTGAGCGTTATTTTGAGGGCTTCCTAACGTGCTGAAAATCAATTGATCTGAAGACACAATTATCTCAACTACAGCTAAAATTGGCCTCTAAGAGCAGATGAAACATTGGAGAAGAGGAAGGGTTCCCATGTGGTAAAAGGAAAGAAACGGTAAAAGCAGCA